AAATACACAGGTTTCTACTGCATCAGAGGGTTGACAATTTCCCAGGAACATCTGATGGTTGAAAACACAACCAATTGTTCGATATGGGTACAATGGTTTGGGCTGTTCAGCAAGTGGAGGTTCATCAGGATTGGTAGGCTTGTGGATGTATCTAGAAAAATTAAATCATAATTTCATATAATGAGAACTTAAAAATTAAGAAGGCAGCATCTTACTAAAAAAAAAATTCGAACACTTATGGCCATAACTACTTCCTATACTTATTTTTCTTTCTTATATTTCTATAATTTGATTACTCGTAATAATTTTATGGTATAACTTCTAATATAGAAACCAACTCTATTCCTTTAACAACAGAATACATTCCATGTACATTGTTAAGATCAAAAAAGTCTATCTCAGATAACATAATTTAAAAACTTAACTATACATTATTAGGCATAACTAACCAAAATGATTATCATCCAGGGGAATGAGAAGGGGGCCCAGGGCTGTGCCTCTAGAACACACATTTAAAGAAAGATGAAGGAAAACTGAGAAGGAATAGCCAAAGAGGAATAATGAAAATTGAAAGACAGTAATGAGAGAGCTAAGAAAAAACCATGTTCTAGGAAGGAGGAAGCACTCAACTCTCAAAATCTGATAACAGCCTAAACTTCTGAAAAGAATGTCCAGTATATTTACCAATAACAAGTTCGTAGCCATGTCAAATTTTCAAAAGAAATCATGATTTACAACTTGAACTTACTTTTAGGCTTATGGATGATCACCAGAAAAAAAAGATGCCAATCATACAACATTAAAATATAATTTACTTCTTACCAATTTCATGTTAGTAAAGAATATTTTAGAGGTACACATTTTCTTGGAGTTCATTTACTTAGTTGCTATAATTTAAGTATTTTCTTAGTCATTGAAAAGGTTCTAATAACTAAAACTATCAACATGTGCCTTCAAGTATCATCAACATGAACATAAAACCCTGTAATTTAAAACACTTATATCTTCATTTTAATATCCTTGTAAACTTAGTAGACTAACCTGTGTCCTGTTAAACTCTCCCAAAAAGTGATTGTTCCATCAGTTCCACAAGTCATAACCCATGCATGAGGTACTCCTTTTGCCTTAGTCCCAACACAGACAAAGGCTTCTAATCCATACCCAAGAAGAAGGCTGCACAGAAGATTAGCATGATCTTCACAGTCACCCTAGAAGATAAATTAAAATGAAGTATTTATTCCTTCATATTGTTTCCTCATTAAATATTCACATACAAAGTTATAATAAAAATGTGTTAGTAAAGTTTTTCACTTTTATTTATTTTTTTTTTTTTGAGACAGAGTCTCACTTTGTTGCCTGGGCTAGAGTAAGTGCCGTGGCGTCAGCCTAGCTCACAGCAACCTCAAACTCCTGGGCTCAAGCCATCCTACTGCCTCAGCCTCCCAAGTAGCTGGGACTACAGGCATGCACCATCATGCCTGGCTAAGTTTTTCTATATATATGTTAGTTGGCCAATTAATTTCTTTCTATTTATAGTAGAGACTGGGTCTCACTCTTGCTCAGGCTGGTTTTGAACTCCAGACCTCGAGCAATCCACCTGCCTCGGCCTCCCAGAGTGCTGTGCTTATAGGCATGAACCACCTCACCCCGCCAGTTTTTCACTTTTAATCATTAGCCCACTGTTAAGCAGAAACAATACGGAAAAAAGATAATATACTAATTTTAGAAAAGCCTAAATTATTTTACAAAGTTAGTGTTTACAAATCTGATGGTCATAACATGTATACTTTAATAGAAGGTATTCAGATTCAAAAGTTTATAAAAAACTCATATAACATAGAAAGAAAAGTAGGAAGATTTTAATAGATATATAATAAATATAATAGCTTAAAGACTTGAACAAACAAGCAGACAAATCATACAGCAAGAAATGTAAATAAATGGAAAACCACTCAAATTGTTAATGAATTAATGGCATCTATATGTGATATTTTCAAAAAAATATACACACAGAAAAAAATGATTGAAAGGACAAAATGCCAACAAAGGCAATTAGTAGGGTAAGTTATATATAATTTTCCCCTATACTTTCCAAATTCTCTTTAATATGCTTATGTTACTTTCACAATTTTAAAAAATTACTTGAGCCCAGGAGTTGGAGGTTGCTGTGAGCTAGGTTGACACCATGGCACTCTAGCCTGGGCAACAGATTGAGACTCTGCCTCAAAAAAATAAAAAAAAATAAACTAAAAATTATGAAGACTTTACAATAGAAAATATCTGACATGGTCTATGAAAAATTACTAAAATATTAAACAGTATGGCTTCAATTATGTAAGGACATGTATTTAAGTATAGGAAAACTACAGGTAATATGAAAAAGCAAAAATAACTTTTTTCCCCCTGCAGAGACATGGTCTTGCTCTGTTGCCCAGGCTAGAAGGCAGTAGCATGATCAGAGCTCATTGTAGCCTCAAACTCCTGGGCTCAAGCAATTCTCTCACTTTGCCCCCACACCACCCCCCACAAGTAGTTGGGACTACAAGAGAATGCCACCACACTCAGCAAATTTTAAATATTTTGTAAAGATGGGAGTCTCACTATGTTTCTCAGGCTGGTCTCCAATTCTTGGCCTCAAGCAATCCTCCTGCCCCAGTCTCCAAAGTGTGGTATTCACAGGTGTGAGCTAGCACGCCCGGCCAAAAATAACTATTGAGTTGACTGTTAGGATGAAGGATAATTTTTTTCTCCAAAAAATTTACATTATTGGCTCTATATTGTTTTTAAAAAATTAATTGTAATGAAATATAGCATTTTATATTTAACTCACTTTACAAAAACATAGTAGCTAATCTTTTAGATCTAATAATTTATGAGATTTTTATACTAAAAAATTCAAAAGTAAATATTCAATATAAAAGTTCATTCACAAAATATAATTGGAAGCAAGAAAAACTTGGCCAGAATAAACAGTTCCTACAAGAGGGAAATAGTTAAGTAGATTTTGTAATATTGACTCAAGAAAACTTAAACAGCCATTAAAAATGGAAAGACTGCAGCAACACATGAAAAAATGTAGTATAATGTTAAGTTATAAAGCATGATACAAAATTTTATTTATATATTAATTATAATTATGGAATAAATAATACATATACAGAATAAAAACAAAAATATAGAAAGAAATGATAAACTGGGAATAGAATTATGGGCCAAGTTTCACATTTACTGTTGTACAATAAAAATATTTTAAATTTAAAGAATTTTCAAGCTTCTATTTTAAGATGAGCTCTTTAAAATAGTGAATGAAAGGAGGGATTATTTTACAAAATCAATATTTATGTAATAATTTTAAATATGTACCATTCCTACTATGTTTGCAATAAAAAAGTTTCTATATATATACACAACTTTAGGGAATTACCACTTGGACATAAAAAATCAAAATAATTTTTTTGATAAGTAATGTTTGTTTTTCAATTGTGTTTAAGACACAATCTAATGACAAGTCAATTTCTCATCCAAATATATCTGTGGGATTCTGTGGGGGATTGGTTCTAGTACTCCTTTGAATACCAAAACATGGCCGGGCGCGGTGGCTCACGCCTGTAATCCTAACACTCTGGGAGGCCGAGGCAGGTAGATTGCTCAAGGTCAGTAGTTCAAAACCAGCCTGAGCCAGAGCGAGACTCCATCTCTACTAAAAATAAAAAGAAATTAATTGGCCAACTAAAAATACATAGAAAAAAAATCAGCCTGGCATGGTGGTGCATGCCTGTGTTCTGGCTACTCGGGAGGCTGAGGCAGAAGGATTTCTTGAGCCCAGGAGTTTGAGGTTGCTGTGAGCTAGGCTGACGCCACGGCACTCACTCTAGCCTGAGCAACAAAGCAAGACTCTGTCTCAAAAATAAATAAATAAGGCCGGGCGCGGTGGCTCATGCCTGTAATCCTAGCTCTCTGGGAGGCCGAGGCGGGCGGATTGCTCAAGGTCAGGAGTTCGAAACCAGCCTGAGCAAGAGCGAGACCCCGTCTCTACTATAAATAGAAAGAAATTAATTGGCCAACTAATATATATATACAAAAAATTAGCCGGGCATGGTGGCGAATGCCTGTAGTCCCAGCTACTTGGGAGGCTGAGGCAGGAGGATTGCTTGAGCAAGGAGTTTGAGGTTGCTGTGAGCTAGACTGACGCCACGGCACTCACTCTAGCCTGAGCAATAAAGTGAGACTCTGTCTCAAAAAAAAAAATAAAATAAAATAAATGAATAAATGAATGAATGAATACCAAAACATGTCAATGCTCAAGTTCCTTATAAAAAATTGCATATTATTTACATATAACCTATGCACATTGTCCCATATACTTCAAATTATCTCTAGATTACTTATACCTAATACAATGTAAGTGCTATGTAAACAGTTTATACTATATTATTTGTATTGTATTGTTACCTTTTATTGGTTTTTTAAAACATACTTTCAATCCACAGATACAGAATCCACAGGTACAGAGGGCCAACTGTATGTTCATTTTTCTAAGGTATCTTTTTACAAATGTAAATTCAGAATAACTATGATGTACTGATATTTAGTTCTATTATGTGTGTATGATACCTTGTTTCTACAGAGAAAGGCCAGCAGAGTGCACCACTGTTCCTGTTTACCTCCTCCTCCAATAACAGGGGCTCGTTCATAACCAAGGACATTAACAAATCTTGCTGCTTGCCTTGGAGTATCCAGAAGCCGTCCAGCTCGAAGTGGTTTAACATAAGAACAAACTGGCCTATTTATCCCATTTTCATCCTAGAGGAAGAAGGGGAAAATATTACTTATGACAGACTAATCATCCCCAATTTTAACTTTTTTTTTTTAGAATACATTAATGTAAGATAAAATAATTCTGGATACCATTTATTGAGTACTTACTTTGCATCCAACACTAGGCTGCCAACTGCTATGCATATAATTTCTCTTTTAATCCTCATAACATCTATTTTCAGTTTATAGCTGAAGAAAACTGAAGCTACAGCTATTATGCAACAGTGCTAGGATTCAAACCCTGAGCTGTCTGACTCCAAAGCCTGTGACAGTAAGAACTACCCTGAGAAAAGGGTGGACAGAAAGGTAAGGAAGGGAGAGGGACTCCAAGCTGAAGTATTCTTTTGTATTACCATACAGAATTTAACAATATATATCCGCACAGAACAAATAACTTTTCTGATTGGTAAAATAACAATGATATAAGTTTATTTTTACATTGTTTCTATTAGGGTATCAAACATAACAGATCCACAGGAAATAATTTGTTAACTAAGTCAACTGAAAGCAAAATTTTGAAAAACATTTTAGAAAGTTTTACATTCTTAATACAGGATCTATCTTAGTGCTTGTGCTGAATAACTACCGTGCATATAAAGGTCTCTGATGGCTGTCCACCATTTATTTAGAGTTAATATTACCAGGCCAGGCTTGGTGGCTCACTCTTGTAATCCTAGCACTCTGGGAGGCCAAGGTGGGAGGACCGTTTGAGCTCAGGAGTTCAAGACCAGCCTGAGCAAGAGCAAGACCCTATCTCTACTAAAAAAATAGAAAGAAATTAGCTGGACAACTAAAAAATATATATATAAAAAACTTAGACGAGCATGGTGGCACATGCCTGTAGTCCCAGCTACTCGGGAGGCTGAGGCAGGAAAATCACTTGAGCCCAGGAGTTTGAGGTTGCTGTGAGCTAGGCTGATGCCACGGCACACTAGCCTGGACAACAGAGTAAGACTCTGCCTCAAAATAAATAAATAATAAATAAATAAATAGAAAATATTACCAAAGCCCATATTTTCCTTAATTTCATAGTTACTGATACGGCAAAGTGAAAGGGCCACTTACATATATTTCATTACAGCAGTATTTCTAATATTACCTAAATATATTCCCATAAGCTATTTGTATGTCTTAAAAATTTCAGTATTTCAACCTCTAAACCTGTACTGTTCAATAAGAAAGCAACTAACCACATGTGGCTATTTAAATTTTAATTAAAATTTTAAAAACTTAAATTTTAGTTTTTAGTCACCTTTGCTACATTTTTAGTACTCAATACATGGCTGATGGTCACCATATTGGGCAGTACAATATAGAACATTTCATTATTGCAGAAAAGTTCTATTGGATAGTACTGCTGTAAACTTATTTCCTCTTGGGTCTGGAAGCACTGGAAATTCTTTTTCATACTATGCATAATAATTTTGTGGTTTATACCTATAGTTTTTATAACTAGATTGACTGCCTTAAGTAACTTGTTCCTTAATTACATAGCTTGTCAAATACAGGAAGCAGCAATAAGAAACAACTCTGAGAATCTAAGTAAAATAACCATTTCATGTACTTTGTGTACATGGGAAGAGGTGGCACAAACCAAAAAGGCACTTATCAAAACTACAATTTAATACAGACTCTGCCAGGATCAAGTTGCTATTTGGACTCTTCACTTCTCTATCCTGTGTACTGTTTACAAAAACAGGCAACGCCTGGCCACTGGACAATCTTATATGATTATTATGAGACTAAATGATCTTATGTGCTTCAAATCTTACAATCAATTCTAAGAGGCAGGGACTTAAGTAATATTTACTAAAAGAAAATCCCAGTTGCTTGATATCCTTAGCAACATCTCAAATTATTCCTCTTTTTCTTTGATTTGCCATTTCTCTGATCTACCACCTCACCCCTTCCTTAGTCCTCTCTGGTCCCAGAAACTATGTGGCAATGAATAAGTCTACCTCAGACTAGATACAGCAGGGAGCCAGTTATACTTTGATTGGTTTCTCCTTTCCCTTGGTTCTAATATTGTTGCCACCTTGACAACCCAGGCATTCAATGTACATGTCCAGAAAAGTCAGAAGCCATTTCCTTTATTCCCACCAGTAGCCAACTAGGGTCTCTCATTCCCAAGCTCCCTACCTAGAAAATGAACCACTTTTAGCCTGTAGTGGTAAATCTAGGGAAAGTAAGGTAAAGCTAGATCAATGTACAGGATCTGACAAACATAAGTCAAAATAAAACTACACTATATTTATATATAAGCATCTATCTATATGAGGCTGAATACATAAAAAATATTTGAATGGTTTCTCAGAAGTTATAAAAATTATACAGATTTGACCATACATTTTATGTTCGTTTGTTAAAGAAAGAAATGGGTTTAGGACTCAGGAAAAACAGAGGCAGGGCTATATAGCTGAAATGCTACAGTTAAATATCACTGGTCACGGGCTTGGAGATCTTGGTTATATACATTATTACATGTAACGCTGCTTGTTTTTTTAAAAAAACACTAACAAAAAACTATGAATGTTCAAAACCTCAGTTCTGCACACAAGGGCTGAATTTAATATAAACTGCAAAGTGTCCACAAGTGACTATTTATTATTCTAAGTACCAAGTAAGGACACACTCCAAGTTAAACAAAATGGATTTTCATTTATTTTAAATGAAATATATTCAGAAAGAGGTTAAAATACAATAATTAAAATTGAAAGCAAAATAAAACAAAGATTGTATTATGCCACTCACCTATATAGTGAAAGAGTATTACAAAAACCAACATTTTACAAATAAACTTTTTGGGGGAATAAATATATTTTAGAAATATAAATTAAATGAAATTTACATATATAACAGTAAATCTCAAATACAGGCATGAAACTTTCCTAATGGAATTACAAACCTGTGCAAAAATCTTAACTAGCCGTGAGTTGTGTGAGGGTCGAATTTGCAAATATTCTCTCCACCACTGCTTAGCATATACAAGAAACAATCGCTCTTTCTCTGCAGTTTTCTGGCGTTCCAAAGCAAGCTTGAAATGAAAAAAATTTTTTAATTTCTATTCATTCTCCTTAATTACTACAAAATATGTAACAAATCGACTTCTCCTTGTCACTACTACTACCCTAATCTGAGCCATACCATCATCTTGTCTGTAAGAACCTAATGACTTTCCTGTTTCTGTATCTATCCCAGTACAATCCAGTCTCTATACAATAGTCGTAAGTGATCTTATTTTTCTCCCCCAAGACAGAAATTTGTAAACAATAAAGCATATTTTTTTATTCCCTTGTTTAAAACACTTTAATCATTTTCCATCACATTGCAAACTACCTGCCCTGGCCTCTATTTCATTTTCTACCCCCAGACCCATTATATACTCCAGCCACACTGGGCTTCTGTTCTTGCATAGGGCCTTTTTTTTTTTTTTTTTTGAGACAGAGTCTCACTTTGTTGCCAGGCTAGAGTGAGTGCCGTGGCGTCAGCCTAGCTCACAGCAACCTCAAACTCCTGGGCTCAAGTGATCCTCCTGCCTCAGCCTCCCTAGTAGCTGGGACTACAGGCATGCACTACCATGCCCGGCTAATTTTTTCTATGTATATTAGTTGGCCAATTAATTTCTTTTTTATTTATAGTAGAGACGAGGTCTTGCTCTTGCTCAGGCTGGTTTCGAACTCCTGACCTTGAGCAATCCACCCGCCTCGGCCTCCCAGAGTGCTAGGATTACAGGCGTGAGCCACCACACCTGGCCATGGGCCTTTTGCTATAGATGTTGTTCCTATTGCCCAGAAGTTCAAAACCCATGTTTGCATGGCTTGCTGCTTCCTACCATTCAGACCTTTCCTTACCCTAAGCACTTGACCTAAATCAGCCTCCTCAATAACCACTCTATCACATCATCTGCAATCATTCTCAACAAAAAACATACTATCTGATATTTTGTTTACAAATTTGTTTATTGTTTCTCCCCACCAGAATTTAAACTCCTTGAGAGCAAGCTGTCTGCCTTATACACAGCCATACCACCAGTGACTGGAACAGTGTCTGGCACATCTAACATCTGTTTAAGATCAATAAATATTTGATGTAAAAAATGTAATAATAGTGTAATTTTAAAGAGAAAGCCTGGAAAATTAGAAACAATTTATATAACAGAAATAGGAAAATAAGCTTATGGTTTAGTCATTAAAAATGATATGAGAGAAATATGAGAAAATGTTTATTAAATGATGTTAAGTTTAAAAAATAGAACCCCTGTACTTGTCAATAAAATAAAAAGTTACTATCAAAAAAACAGAATCCATTTACTTATATAAATTTATGAATACCATGATCGACTCATATATACACATATGTAAATGTGTGTACATACACATGTACATATTTATTTATTCAAATAATATCAATGTTGATTCCCACTATGTAGTTTCAGGTATATATACCACCCATAACATATCTCAGATGCTAGAGATTAGAGGGAGATGAGAGTTTAGAACAGAAGTTTCAACGAAACAGGGCAGGACACTATTTGCTTAGGGGAGAAGGGTCAAGCCATCTAAAACTAAGTAACCACAGATCTATAAAAGGAATACATAACAGGCAGGGTGGAATAAAGGAACAATTTCAGAACTAAAGTATGTGATCAAGGAGAATCTTTCCACAAGTGCCATCCCAACAAGTCAGCAGATAATCAGAACCTGAAAAACTAAGGACTGGCAAGGACTAAACTGGTATGGCAAATCCAATTTGAAGGGATGAAGAAACCCACTGATCTTACAAGATCCAGAAAAAAGTGATTCCTCAGAGACCTGACAGTACAATTCGGAAAGCAAGCCTCTCAAAACACATTCCAAAAGTGCCAAGCTCTTCTACCTTGAGAGTATACAGGAGAAATGACAGGAGCAGCACGCTCTCAAAAATTTCGGTAAAATTAACATTAAAATCTCACCGTTTACTGTCATCTCCTACTCCTTTATCCCCTTCAGCTCTGCAATTCTTATGTTGTTTCAATGAATATTCATTCTATTTCCCAAACTAGACTATAGGCTTCCCTAAGAAAACAATCTTGTCTTTATTTTCTTTCTCATCTTTTTTATAAACCTTTGAGTGCTAATCTAAAAAGTAATAAATGACAATTTTCTTTAAAAAGAAAAGAGTATTTTCTAGGATTTATCTAGTAGGTAAATATACTACCATGAAAATAAATACACACAAAAAAGAAACTCAGAATTATTTACCTGTGTGTTCACTACTTCTTGAGATAACGTTTGATTGAGTGGTGGGTACATTTCAAGTTTTATATT